GTTCGAACTTCGGCCGATACCGCTTCGACGATAGTCGAAGCAACATAATGGCTAAGGCTATCGACATCGGTTCGACCTCGTTCGAACTTCGGCAGATATCGGTTCGACCTTGTTCGAACTTCAACGGATACCGCGTCGACGACAGTCGAAGCAACATAATGGCCAAGGCCATCGACATCGGTTCGACCTCGTTCGAACTTCGGCAGATACCGCTTGGACGATAGTCGAATTAACATCTTAATGGCCAAGGCCATCAACACCGGTTCGACCTTGTTCGAACTTCGACGGACACCGCGTCGACGACAGTCGAAGCAACATAATGCCCAAGGCCATCGACATCGGTTCGACCTCGTTCGAACTTCGGCACATACCGCTTTGACGACAGTCGAAGCAACATCTTAATGGCCAAGGCCATCGACATCGGTTCGACCTCGTTCGAACTTCGGCGGATACCGCTTCGACGACAGTCGAAGCAACATCTTAATGACCATGGCCATCGACATCGGTTCGACCTCGTTCGAACTTCGACGGATACTGCTTCGACGACAGTCACGGCACGACCCTTCGACGAACGATAAGAACAATCTCTACGGAGGTTAAACATTACAAAAGAAATAAAGGAGAAAACACCAAATGGACAAGGCAATAAAAATAAAATCTATATTGCAACAAAAATATATTTACATCCGCCCCCATGGACAAGCTCCAACACACTATACAATCGAAAAAATACACACTATACAAGTTCACGACTGCCCGTCACCCCCGGGGAAGTAAACGTCATTGTACCAGGAGCTGGAGTCGAGCCGGTTGACGTCTTCAGAAGCAGGCCCCTCCCCATCAGGAGAGTCGGGGTAATAACCGCAGACCTCACGAGCAACACGAGCCTCATCTCGTCATGCTCGAACCTCCTCCTCCGTCGCCCGGCCCGTGGCATGAAGCTCCCTATATACATCGAGCCTGGCCTCCGCAAATACCACATCTCATGCGCGTTACGACGCATACCCCGACCAGGTAAAGGACGAGATGAGGAAGGCTGGGAAAGTCCATTATTCTCTGCCATCCTAGCATCGAGCTCGGTGGTTAAGTCCGCCACCCTCCGCCGCAGGTCGACGTTCTCCGCTACCATCCCACGGCTCAGCTCAAGCTCATCATCTTTCGTTCTAAGAAGCTCCTCCAACTCGCTGTTGCGGGCTACGGCCTTCATCAGCTCGCTATCCGCCTCCTCCAGCTCGGCCCCCCTACGTTCCAACTGGGACTGCCCCCGTTCAACCACCGCTCTGTGCTTAGAGCGATACCTTCGATACTTTTTCAGCATCTTCTTGTGAAGGGCCGTCCGTTTCTGCTCACGGCGCCCCCTCTCCACCTCCAAAACAAGGGTCTAAAAAGAAAAACAGAAGTAAGCATACCTCGAATCAATCTTAAAACACATGGAAGGACAAAAGGGAATAAAGAATTACCTGCAAAGCCATGCCAGAAATCTTCCGTGACAGCTCCACATCCTCCACGGTACTGAGCGCCTTACTCTCGGAGGCGGCACACAGCAGGGTAAGGGCCGAAGCAGCCTGTTCGCTGTTTAACAGCAAGTTATAAGCCGCTGGAATTGTAATGTGGCGCTCGGACCCATCCGACATCATCTCCACATGGGTAAGGCCACCCACAAACTCGTCGACATCCTCCTGAGCGATGTCGGAGTCCGATCTCTCCGTTTCCTCGCCTGGTCCCTCGACGTTGGTCGACGATCCCCCCTCAACTGCAGGTGCGAAACTAGCACCGGGAGCAACACCCCTCTGACGAGCCGACCTCCCAGACCGAATAGCGTCGACCATGAATGGTCTGCGCGTCGGCTGGGGCACGTCACTTCCCTCGGCCTCGGTGGCCACCCCCTTACCCTTCTCGAGCCTTCTCCATTTTCTGTCTGACGATTCCCCGTCATCAGAGGGTCCGTCCATGGGTTGCAGAGTCGGCATGGTCGTAGACGTGGCCCCCTGTAAAGGAGCTGGAGAAGGATCCTCTCGGACAGACTCAACCAGTATATCGTGAGCGGCCGAGGCAACGTCAAATCAATGCAGAGCGGGAATCGGTGCCCTCTTCCTAGAAGCGCCTCGACCTGTCGCCATAAAATAAGTAAGCAAAGTTGAAGAATATATAAAGCAAAAATCAAAAATCTACCTGAAGAGACTTTGGGGCCGTAACGCTGCAGGAAGGCAGGCCAAGTGCGTGTCTCTTCCGCGTAAGGAAGCAAGCCCTTAACCCATCCCCTGAGGTTGGCAATGAGCCGGGGCGGGTGAGCCATAGCTACAATATAATGGTCAGAATGGCAACAGTCATGAGTAACACAGAAGCTGACAAACTATAAATACTTACGTCTCGAGTTCCACCTCTCTGGGAACCCTGCGGGATTGGAGACCATGTGCTCGGTCCTAATAAAAAAATATTTGCGCCAGAACCCACAACTCGCTCGGTCGTCGGTTTTGACCACCAACCCTTTCGTACCACGGCCTCTCAGATGCACCATGGTCCCCCTTAGATAGCAGGCATTGAATAAATGAAGGAGGTGATGGACCGTGACTTTGCATCCGGTCAACTCCGCGTACTTGGTCAGCAGCCGGAGCACCTTCAGAGTATACGGCGTAAGTTGAGCCGGACACACATTGTAGAACCGACAAAACTCCTCCGCCAATGGGAAAAGAGGGAGGCTATAACCGATCGAGAAGGAGTATTCATAAAAGGCACAATATCCTGGCCGATGAACGTCCACATGATCCCTTCCCGCCGGAACCATCTTTACGTAGGCAGGTATGCCGTACTTCGTGCGGAGGTCATCCAAGGGTTTCTGTAACGACTCCGAAAACTCTGGAGTCGGAATGGGGGAATCTTTACTAAAATCACTCCGGGATAATATATGTTTTGGCAACAATGCCTCCACAGTGAGAGGACTGATGTCTTCTTCCCCCACTTCTCCACCATCAGAAGATGGCGGCACATTCGCAGGGGCAGCCGCCGGGACCCTCTCGTCAGATCGGCAAGGTTTATGCATGGTTTTCAAAGAAGGAAAGAGTTAAGCGCAACCCAACAAAATAATAAAAAGAAAGAGGGTTTCGATCAAGGGGAAACACACCGGAATGGGAAAATATGTATTGAAGGTCTGGAATCCTCTTGCAAATGACCAAAGTTTGAATCAAGTTGAACCCTTCTCCTATTTATAGGGCTGATTGGCGCCATAATCGAAGAAGCAGACGTCGAATCGGCACGGGAAACCAGGCGCAAAAAGCTTCTGATCCCCTTGCCTCGAGAATACGCACAATGATGACGCATATGAATGCTGACGTCACGTAAGGAAAGGCATTTCGCTTCAACGATCTAACAATCATGATTACTATCCCCTGCTTGTCACGTCACAAGTCATTGACAAAGTCAAACTCTCCCGGCACGGAGGAATCGATTCCGCCCATTTAGGACGCATTCGCTGCGACCCCGACGAGCGGAGGGACTAACTGTATGGGGTCGAATTTGACCAACTACGTTCTTCAAGCCAGCACGACCGAGCAATTGTGCGTAAGCCCGGTTAGAAGAGCGACCTATGAGCAACAAGATGGACGACTCCACGACCACGCTGGCCTCTCCATAATATGTACTTTATTTTTTGCCTTTTTGTATTCGAGGAAGGATCCTCTATTATATAAAGAGGATCTAAGCCTTGTAAAAGGGGGACTTCGGATTATTGAAAATACAATCTCTCTCTTCTCTCTCTCTCTAACATTATCTCTCTTATCTAACAGAAGTTTATCACTTTCTCTCATCAACTTTGTTTATCTTATTTTTATCTGATTCTATATTCAAGATCATCCTAGGGTTTATTATCTTCCACTACGATTTACCCCTTCATCTACATTGATTGATTTGCTTAAAAAGTATTTAACCACTTTTGGGCAAAACAATATTGCTAAGACTGTACTCTTTCACAGGCCACACAATTTGTTATCTGAACTATCTTATCTATCATCGAAACGGAAGCTTTTCTTGAACCCTACTAGTGATCCTTTTTTCTTATCCAAAAGTAGTTTACCCTTATCCAAACCCTTCCATGTACCACCACCACCAACCACTCGCAGATTTTCTCGTTAACTGAGTAAACACATAGTTCACATCTGTGGTCTCACCATCTGGGGATAAATCATGGAATATATCACATGTCTTCTTGTTACCATACAAGTCTGCTTGTCGAATACGATCTCTTTGAATAGACTGACCACAAACAAATTAAACTTTAGTAGATAGTTTATGAGTTCCTCATCAATAGGCCAAAACCTGAACCCCATTGAGTTATTACTACTTCCACTAGTGTTCATCATCATCATTGTGAGCACGTAATTTTGCCCCATATATAAAACTACTTCTAAAAATAGTTCAAAAATAAATTTAATTACTTTTATAGAATTTTAGGAATTTTTCTTTTGGTTTGCATTTATTTGCATTGTTCATGCATATTTAGAAATATTTTAAATCATAAAAATCATCAAAAATATTTTATCCTTCATTTTGTGTGTTAATTGTATTTAGGATTTAATTGCATTGTTAGCATTTAGTTGCATACTAATTGCATCCTTAAAGCACAAAGACACAAAATTGCTTTAATTATTTTTACCTTTCTGGTTTAGGTTTAAGTGATTAGTTAAGTAGTCAATTTTTAGGTCAAGTAGTTAAAAGGGTTAATTGTGTGAAATAAGTGCAACTAGAGTAATATATGTGAAAGTGGTTGTTTGAATAAATGCAAAAAGCAGAGGATGAAATGGGTATGCCTATGTTACATTCAAATTGGGCCCAGAATTTTGATGGCCCAATTCCCTCCAACGTCCAACCCGCCCCAATTCTCATTTGTCTACGTGGTCCATTCTCTTAATAAACCAAACGACACCATTTTGGTTTAAGCAATCCCAGCTCTTCATCTCCGTTGATCCAATGGTCAAGAACTGACCTTTCCATCCCTTAAGAAAGTCGGAACAGACCCCCACCCTAATTAAATTCATCTCTCAAACCCTTCTGCTCTCCTCACTATTCTGCCACCGCCGGAAATCGCTCACGGCGGCGGCCAACCACCAAACGATCCCAAATTATCACCCTACAATCCCCAACCCCTCCTCGGTCTGAATCTACTACCCGTTTCCCTCAAATCCTTCTACATCACCTCGAATTATAGATCTAATATTCCAGAAAAACCTAGTTTAACCCCCTTTCTGATTTCTTCGTTAAATTTAATTCGTTTTGATTCGAAGCTTGCATTGATCGATTGCTCTTGACGAGAGAAATACATTAATGTTAGTTTTTGCTCATTTCAAAGTCGCCGGAGTCCATCCAAGTTGCCGCTGACTGTGCCGAGGTGCCTTTCTTCCTTTTGCGCTGTTTCTCTGGCCGGCGATGAGGTCTCCGATTGGTATTCTATTCCTTTCTTTATCTCTATTTTTTTATTGCTTTAGATTAACTATGTGTTTAGTTGATTACATTAATTAGGTTCACTTGGTAAACTGGTTCAGTGTGCTGAGTATTGTTGTTTGAATTTCTTTTGTTAGAATTCAGTTGAGTGTAAAATGTCACGACCCTAAACCCAACCCGGTCGTGATGGCACCTTCTCGTGAAGACAAGGCCAGCCGACACACTTTCAATCCTCTCTAAACAATTAATAATAAAAAATACTCAGTCTTTAACATGATGAAAATCCCAAAAATAAGTAGTGAATAGTATAATTTGCGGAAATAAAAGCCAACACAGCCCGACATCGGGGTGTCACCAGTCATGAGCATCTAAAACAACCCTAGAATTCTGAAGTCTAATCCTCTTCTACATAACTGAATCAAAAAGAACTAAGATAGAGGGAGAATGCACTGGGCTGCGAATCGCCTAGCAGCTACCTAGTAAATCTCCGAAGACCTGCTGGAACTATCAACCCTCAAGAGCAGGACCTGTAGCGCCCGAATCTGCACACAGTGGTGCAGGGAGTAAAGTGAGTACTCCAACTCAGTGAGTAATAAAAATAAATGAAGACTGGGAAATATAAAATCACGTAAGGCACAACATTAAGCTAAAAGAGGCTCAACACAATCAGTAAATATAATTAAGCAGTGAAATCTCATAAACATCCTTTAAACAGTTAAACAATATACCGAAAAAACAACTAAAAAGGTAAACACATAATAACTGCCCCTCGGGCACAATAACAACAGAATCAGCCCCTCGGGAAATATCACAGAACAATACCAGCCTCTCGGGCTATGTCTCATATTACAATGGGTACCCGCGCTCACTGGGGGTGTACAGACTCCGGGAGTGGCCCCTTACGGCCCAAGCGCAATATCAATCCATCTCGTGGCATCATAAATAGGCTCTCGGCCTCATATCAATCTCAAGCCACCTCGTGGCGTGCAAATCTCAGGCCCTCGGCCTCATTAGTATAATCAATATATCACTGTTGCGGCGTGCAACCCGACCCAAAGTATCCTCACAACACAGGCCCTCGGCCTTACTCAGTCAGAATCTCATAAGCCCCTCGGGCATCAGTAAAACATGAAGCTCAGCTCAAAATATCTTTAAAAATATCGTTTAATGTGTTTAAAACAGAATAACATAGCTGAGTTTTGAAAATAGTGAAAATATAGCATGACTGAGCACCAATATGAAATCAAACAGTGAGGAAAATATCATTTAAAATCCCCTAAGGGTTCAAACAGTTAGCACGAAGCCCATATATGGCATTTAGCCCAACATATAATAATATCAGACAATTAATTGTCAAATACGTAGTAAAATAGTCATTTGGGATGGACTAAGTCACAATCCTAACAGTGCACGACCCCACGCTCGTCATCTAGCGTGTGTCTCACCTCAACATAGTCGAACACTGTGAAATTCCGGGGTTTCATACCCTTAGGACAGCATTTAAAATCATTACTCACCTCAATGTGGCCCGAAATCTAGCTTGCAATGCCTTTTGCCCTTCGAATCGCTCTCCGGATGCTCCGAATCTACCAAAATCAGAACGTAACCATTAATTTATGCTAAAGGGACGAAGTCCACTCGAACATAATCGAAAAGCATCACGAAATCCAAAATTACCAAAACCCGACCCTCGGGCCCACATCTCGGAATTCGATAAATTAACATCATTAGATTCCTTATCTCCCCACGAGTTCATACATATAAAAAGTTCCAAAATCCGACCACAAATGGTCTTCCAAAACCTCAAGCAAAGGCCTAGGTTTCTAAGCCCTAGTTTCTCAACTTTACCTTTAATTACAGCTCTAATCCATGCATTAACACCATAAAAACGAGTTTTCATAATCCAAAACCTTACCTCAATGATGTCTCCTTGATTTCTCTTTTCAAAATCGCCCAAAGCTCCAAAATTCGTGTTAAAAAGTGAGAAAACCTTCTGAAAATCGCTAAGGAACTAACTTATATTTTCTGTCCAGACATTTCCGCATCTGCGGTCATTTCACCGCATCTGCGGTCTTGACCCCGCATCTGCGGTCCTCACTTAAATCCACTTCTCCGCATCTGCGAAGATCCAACCGCATCTGCGCCACCGCAGGTGCGGTCAAATATCCATTTCTGCGGTCCCAGCCCAAACGCCCTTCTGGCCACTTCTGCGGCCCATCTTTCGCATATGCGGCGCCGCACCTACGGTCCCCAATCCATAGGTGCAGAAATACCAGAAGCAGCACACTCAGCAGCTGCAACAATTCTTCAAACTCCCCGTCAACCATCCGAAATCAACCCGAGGACCCCGGGACCTCAACCAAAAGCACAAACATATCCCATAACCTTATTCAAACTTGTACCAATCTTCAAAACACTTCAAACAACATCAAAATCACCAAAACTCATCGAATTCAAGCCTAAGGTTCTAAATTCTTCCGCATTCCGCTTTTGATAAAAAACCCAACCAAACCACGTCCAAATGACCTAAAATTTTGCACATACATCCCAAATGACATAACAAAGCTACTACAACTTTCGGAATTCCATTCCGACCCCTATATCAAAATCTCACCTATCAACCGGAAAATGCCAAAAACTCAATTCCGCCAATGCAAGCCTAAATCTACTCCGGACCTCCAAAACACATTTCGATCATGCTCCTAGGTCCGAAATCATCTCCCGAAGCTATCCGAACCATTGAAACTCACATCCGAGCTCTCTAACACATTGTTGACTTTTCTAACTTAAGCCTTCTTAAAAGAGACTAAGTGTCTCAAACCTCCGCAAAACCTTTCCGAACCCGAGCCAACCAACCCGATCACATATAAAACCGATAATTAAAGTAAATAGAAGCAGAAATCGGGAAAATAGAGCGGTAACTCATGAGATGACCGGCCGGGTCGTCACATAAAAGAAGTTTGGGCCTGTTTGATCGGCGGCCCAGTGAGTGTGAAGGTCCATTTCGGTGTGGCCGACCTGTTGGTACAAGTCAAGGTCATTGGTTTGGTTGAGTGGAGATTGGCAGGGAATAGGAAGGTAGTTCAGGTTTTTAACTTGAAAGAATCTTTTTGTTAACTGTTGTAGGGCCTTGTAGAAGAGGGCAAATGGATCAAAGTGTAATAAAATAGTAAAGAAAGTTAGGTGTTTAGGGAATAAGGAGTGAAAACAGAAATAGAAAAGGACTAAAAAGAATTTTAATAACCGAAAGATATTGAATTCTGTTCTATATAACAAACTGCTCCTTGTCTCCCTCACACATAGGGATTCACACAGACTCTTACACACGCAACTCACACTAATAACACATTCACTCTCAATACACTCTGTTATCATTCAGTCCCCCTTCTCTCACGCAACTCTCACCTGAAAGAAAAGGTAAAAACAATTTTCTGGATTAAAAAATTTGAATTCCAGATCTGAACACCAAAAACTTTAAAAAACAAAAACAAAACAACCAAAAAAAAGGAATCAAAATTGTTTCTGATTTCTAGTCAATTGCTGCATATTTCCGTATTTTTCAAAGTTGTTGAGTTGAAATTTGCTGCTGCTGTATGCTGGAACTTTGCTGAGCTCTATTTAAATCTGTTTTTGGCCTTTGTTTGGTTTTCTCCTAGAGCTTTCTAGCCTTGAACTGGTAAGTTCATACACTCATGTATTTATGTCTTTCCTTGAATGACAAGCTTCTGATTTCTTTGAAATTTAGATTGATCTGTTGAATTCTCATGTTAGCATAACAACATGAACTGATTTGCATCCATTGTTTGCTATATTACTTGAGAAATAGACATAAAAGTAGACCGTGAAACTATGAGTTTTTCTCTGTTACTGATTCTCTTATCTCATGATTTGATTAAACATGAATTCTAGACTCGACACATTAGTAATATTTCGTTTAAGTGATCTTTAGTTGTAATTCATAATGAGAAAAGGCCACTATTACAACAGATATGGCGGTCGTTCATGGATCTGGCCATTAATTGGTGAATTTTTGTAGACCTCAAAGCCAAAATATTTTATTAGATGTGTTTGGAGCCACTGTAAATCGTTTTGCTCAAATAGAAGTATAAATTTTCATGTTGGGACTGTAATATAAATTTTGGACATGAGTGTATTGTATTATGTAACGTAGTTAAAGTAGATGTTAAAATCTGCTCAATTCAGGATGTGAACACAAGCATAAATGTAAGGATGATTATTGTAGTTGATTTTATTATGTTTGGAATTAGAGTTAATTTCTTTCAATTTAGAATAACAGCTGTTTGAAAATCAATGGCTACAACTGTAATAAGAGTAATGTTTCAACTCTGATAGGGACTAATTGTGGGCCTGAAGTTAAGAGATTTGGAGCCCATACCGAGTTTTTGATAATTCACTGGCGTAAAGGCTAAGTGAGCCTGCCACTTCCAAAAGGTTTTGATGCGCTGGGCCTCATCTTAAGCCTGATTTTGACTCACTTGGACCTGTTGGAGGTCCTAGTGTTAGCTTTTAATTAAATTCAAGTTTGTGCTACCTTTTTGAAAGTAATGATACGTTGTTAATAAAGAAGGTGTGACGAAATAGTTTAGGCTACAGTTCATTCCTTCTCTCATTTTTCACATGATAATTGTTTGATGAATTTATACTAATTAGCTATTTATTTTCTTATGGAGCAATGTCATTTACTGTACAGTTGATAGGCCAGTAAGAAAAGAAAGTACAAAAGAATGCATTTCAATACTCGTTTATAAGAGTGGAAACGTCAGTGGAGATATAAGTCTACACTTGGGGTCTAAAATCACAATGATCTTCAGTATCTACATATTTTCTTGATGGAGCAATTTCTAAAATTGTGGGCCTTTACGTTTAATCCCAAAGTTTAGGAATTTGAACCACTCATGAACATCATAGTTTACTTTAGACGCGCTTTTTTAATCTACTATCATGATTATGTACACGTTCGCGTGACTTAATTATGATTCCCAAAATAAATCAAGGTACACGTTTGCGCGATTTTGGCCAAACACTCTTAATAATAATAAAGTGTTATCAATTGTGTACACGTACACGTGACATGATTTTTGGCACAATAAACCAAACGGATTCACACATACGTGATCCGTTTCAAAAGATAATTCCATAATCTAATAATCAAGTAATATAAATGCCATAAAAGGTAAAACGCACGTAGGTTCTAAAATACGTAATTAACAGATAATCAAGCCAAATTATGATGATAAAGCGACCGCGCTAAAATTGCGGAATCCGGGAATGCCTAACACCTTCTCCCGGATTAATAAAATTCCTAACCCGGTCTTCTGTGTTTCGCAGACTTTAAACAGAGTCAACTTTTTTTATTGGGATTCTAAAATAAACCGGTGACTCGGAACTCCGTAATTAAATAATTTTGAGTGGCGACTCTTTTAAATAAATAAAATAAATAATCCCTTTTCAACATCACTTAAATTGGAAAAATTCATTCCCCGTAAAAAGGAGGTGTGACAGCTGTAGTGACTCTGCTTGGGAACGAACCCAGAATCACTGGTTTAGGGTTCAGAATTTGAGCTTGTAATGTGATCTATACTTGGCTTCTTGATTGTTGATATTACTATGTTTGTGGGCCTAATGTGCTAATTGCTGCTCATTTATTGTTTTGATATTGTATGAACTGTATAAACTGTCTTCTTACGCCTCCCTTCTAAGTCTTCTGAATTTATGGTGCACACGTTCGCATGACCCATTTTTTTGTTAGAGGTCATACCAATTAGAACGAAGCTGGGTCAGTAACTAGGCCGGATAGACTTTTGTGCTCCCGGTACATTTCCCCACCTCGGGTCAAGCTGTCCGCTTGGGTAAGCCATGTCTAAAACATTCCCTCCAGGATTTAAACCTAGAATAACATAGCCTCATGCCGGATTCCTAGTAGGAACGTTTGTTTCATCACGTGTATTTGACTTTGGGGACTCAACACATGGGTTGGATCCGTACCTAAAATTACAAAACCATCCTGATGCATCTTACATGCTACTTGTGCTTTTTGTTTGATCTATTCTGCATGTTGACCGGTTTCTAGAATAGGGATAGTTGAAAAAGAAGAAGGAAAGAAGCAAGAATGAGAGGTAGGAGAGAGAAAATTCATCTGGTTTTTTAAAAATCTCGGTATTTGAAAAGTCCCGAAACACTGCCGAATTTTTGGGGAAAAAAAAAGAAATATCATTTCAAAATGAGCTAAATTTTGTGTGTGCCATGTGTCACACCTCCTTTTTTACTACACCCCGCAAGGGGTGTAAAGGAGTTTTTTCAATTAAAGGACAATCGGAACGGGATTTATTATTAAGATTCAGAGTCGCCACTTGGGAGATTAATGGTGTCCCAAGTCACCGGTTGAACCCCTATCCGAGGAAAATATGACTCTGTTAACAGTCCGCGTACCAGAAATCCGAGTAAGGAATTCTGTTAACCCGGGAGAAGGTGTTAGGCATTCCCGGGTTCCATGGTTCTAGCACGGTCGCTCAACTGTTATATTTGACTTATTTATTTGACTTTAGAACATGTTTTAACCTATGTGTTTTTGAACTTTGAACCGCTTTTATTATTATTATTTTTAAGGAGAATTGCAACGTCGTGAAAACATGTCTCGAACCACGTCACATAAATGCACCCGTGGTTTTTGACATGTTTCAACTTTGTTGAGATTTGGATTTGGGTCACATAAATGTGCACCCGGGTTTAGGAAGGTAATATTATTAAATGCCGGGCCTACAGGAACTAGCGTATTATTAACTTTGCGGGAGGCCATGAAATTCGCTAAATGGCACGCCCCGAGGTCTAAAATATTTTTATGTAAGTATTTAAAGAGGGCCACGCAATTCATGGTTCTGTTTAGCGCGGCGCACCTCATTTTTATTTTAAAAGGCAACCTAGAGCAACTACAATTTTCTATTATGTATTGTCTCTAAAAAAAAAAGAAAAAAAGGCCCTAATTAATTAACATTTCCACTCAGTTAAAACTTGAAAGGGTGTGGGCTTCGGAAATCAGCCCAAAGAGGAGGGGTTTCCGCCCTATTTCATAAGGTTGGCCAGTCATGGGCCTTTCCGGTGTGTTAACAAAGCTGAGGCCCAAATTGATTAGAAACAAGGTGCCCAGCCTGGATTCATGAGCGGGTCCTAGACCAAACTGGACTCAATCAGAATTTACAGTCTCTAATCCAATTCAGATTGTTCAAATTGCATACCATGAGTTTCATGACAGGAAGCCAATTAGTTCTACCAAATTAACAAATGCTATTTTTGCTGAATTTGAGATTTATATCCCAATTTGTGTTTTTAGATAATGAGTTGCTACCAGTACTCACTGAGTTCAAAGACCTAATCAGGAGGCAACTTATGTTTGTATTGGAACCTTAAACTCAAGGGCTTAAGAAACGTATATTATCTGATTTCAAACTAAGTTACTGAGATCAAATGCGAAAGCAATGCCTTACTGCACAGATTTATTGAACCAATACTACATATATTTATTTGACCTAAAGTTAACATGGAAACGAACACACTCACTGATTTCAACATCAATCTCGAGTTCACAACAGTTATACAGTTTTTAAAAGTTAAACTAGCACAAGGAATTGGATCACACTATTTTATACTAATACTGATATAGAAATGAACAAATTTTGAGTTTAAAATCCAAACCGTCTAGATTAATTTACAATAGTCTATCACAAGTAAACAGTTTAAATCTACAACACAAATAAGCATCACTTTCATTTCATCTTCAACTTGCGATCTACATCAAAGGGAAACTAGGATGTGTACCTGGAAAGCAAATGAAATTTAAGAGAAAGAGATGAGTCAGCCGTAGTAGGTAGACAGAATCAGCAAGGAAATCAACAGCACAAGGTCAAATTTGAATCCAAAAACAGCCTCAAAAGCCCAGAAGTGAAGAGAGAAGAAGCAGCACCAATGAATTGCTCAAAATAAACTCGATAGAACCCAGCAAACTTAAAATCGAACCCAGAAATACTTCTGCCAGTAAATACCCAGAAAACAGCCTAACTAATACCCAAAGTAACTTGAAATTGGATCTCAGAACACTAGGAATTGGAATGAACAGCTAACTCGCAATCAGTCTAAAATTTCGATGTAACAACACCCATTTTTTGAAGTTTTCTCTTGTTTTCTACTTTTTGTTTTTTTTGGTTTTTGAAGATTTGGAATTTGAAATTCGAATTTCAGATTTGAAACTTGCAGGACACTTTTGGGGGAAGTTTTAGAGGCTCCAAAACACTTCTCGCTTAAGGCAAAGAGGACTGCCTTTTATAGGCATAAGGGAGGGCAGCCCTTAATTTTCTAGTTTCTTTTCAGTCCCTCTTTATTTTTCAGTTTTTATTCATTCAGTCCTTTATTTACTGACTTATTGCCCAAGTTATACCACCTATTTTCTAAACTTCAAACTTAAAACCCACTCTAGAAACTTCTAGGAAGTTCCTTTTCAGTTACTACAATATTCTCTTATCTAAAATGCCTAACTTGCCCTTTATCTAAGCTGAAATTTACCCAAACTAACCCAACTTCTTTACCTCAGTTAACAACTATGGTTAAACACTAAAAGGGACTAACAATTCAACTAAGTCCGAACAAACTCCTAAAGTTGCATCAATTATCCTAACCCATTAATCACAAATGGAGAACAAGGTTAACTAAAGTGCTAATCCTAACTAAGCTCAATTACTACACAAACCACCCATTCAAGGAAATTTAACTATAGTCTAAATATCAGCTACAACCAAATAAAGCTTAAACAAAAATTAATCTAACTAATCTGATTAACAATAGAAATCTTAAATGTATTAAGAGCTAACACAGCAATGAACCAATCAATTAACATCAAACAGAGCCTAATTGAAACCAATTATGAAGATCAAACGAACAAAAATCAAACATTCAAAATGACAGTTAAACCTGGAATCCTACTATTGAAATCTACGAGCAAATTACTAAAATAAACTAATTATATGGTAAAGAAAAATCAGAACCCTCAACTGAAATCCTAATTCACCACAACAATAACAAACTCTGAATAAAAACAAAACAATAATAATAATAAAAAAAATAACTGAAAACAGAGAAGAAAAGAAAAACTCACGGATTCACTGTTATAAGCCTTCCTCTTGACTTAATCTCGAAATTGGCATTTTTATTAATGTTATAGGTTTATTTTGTTGAAATAAACATATAACATTATTAAAAAAAAATCAACCAAGTGC